ATTCTCACAAAGATTAAGTTGTTTAACCTTTAATTTTCTATCTTTCACCGATAACGATAAAAAGTCTGGACAAAAACATATTAAGTGGTCCCTTTTACAAAGGCAGCACTTACGCGATTGTGATTGATATGATTTTAATGTATGCATATGACTTGAACCTGCCAAATGTGAATATTTCAACCCGTCACGGGGTTTGACTATATTCATTGGTTGATCTGGGTTGTCAGCTTCAACCTATTCAAAAAAATCTGCTCTGTACCTTATAAAATCTATTATATCTTTTGTAACGGCTCGTTCCGTTAAATTGGTTTTATATCTTTTCCATTCGTTAAGAGACTGTACATCGAGATTCTTAACGATTGTATAAATAATTAACGAATCCCAGTGGTTAGTGGGTTCTCCTAACTGTTTTAAACACTCCAGATTATTGCTTATCGTATCAGCAAGATCGGATAGTTTAGAAGAGTTAGGTTTGGCAATAGTTTCGTATTCAAAAATGATTTTAATATGATTCGATATTAGTTTTTCGCTATTGTTAAATTTTTCACAAAGTGTGAGCCATGCTGTTTCATAATATCTTTCCCCAAATTGAATCGCTCTAATTGTCTGAGCTGCTTTTCCCTTTAGACTCTCTCGTAGATAATGAAACTTTCGTATATTGCCCAGGTTTATATTATTATGAACAAGTGCATTGAATTTATCTCTAAATTCAATCCATTTTTCATATGAGCCATCAAATTGAGGTAACGGTATCGTAGGAAGTAAAATGTCTGGACTTCTGATGTCGTTTATATCTTTCTTATTAGACGAACAAGTTAATTGTTTTTTAAATGTTGCAATTAATAGTTTCGCTTTAGATGTGACTTTATAGAACATCTTCAAATTCATCATAAATTCGTTTTTGTTCCAGTTTTAATACATCATCGTCTAAACGATCATTTAATTTTTCAACAATATCATCTAAAGTATCTAACAACTTCTCAATTCTATAAAGTCGCGTTTCCGTTTCTATTATTATACCTTCTGCATCGTTATCCAAAATACCAGAATCTTTGACAATTGTGTCAATCGATTTAAGAAAATTGTCAAACGTTTTCAAAGACTCTTGTATTTTAGATCTTTTCCTTAATAATTTCTCGACCTCAGTCATTATTAAGAGCGTTTACCACTTTAAAAGACAAGAAATGATAGTTAACTTATCTGAAAATCGAATCAGTATGATCTTTGACCAGGATTTTTGACCCAGCTCCTTTCCGTAACTTCGTATCGCTTTGTTTCGCTTAACCCTCGACGTATATTTCGCTTTTTCGTATCCGGGCTCGTACAGGACCAAATGGAACGGATTGATAGTTTGGCTTTTTTGAAAAGACGTTTATTTTTAAATTACAAATTCGAATAATTATTAACAACTCATGTTACCATGAAAACATAATAATATAATTATATACAGGGTAAATCTAAACAACGTCTTTATTCAATTTTTTTTAGCCTACAGCTATTCTTCCATCTAACCCTTTTAGTAACAGGATCGATAAATAATATTATAAAAACAAAAAACTATGATAAAAATTAAAAATAAAAAAAAAACAATCATTTAAGTAAACTGTTAATGCAAATAAATAATAATTGAAATATTAATAAATTAAATTAAAAATTACACAATTTAATTTGATCATCGTTGTTGATGAAGCAGGATATTTTTGAGCTTACGCTTGAAACCAGTATATGAATAAATATAGCATGTGTGGCGCGGGGCATTGTTAACGTGGATTGCTCACGTACATTAATATTATACATTTGATTTCTGTAAATTAACCTGCGAGAGAGATATATTGGACTTTGAGTGTGTATTATTTTGTGCACCAATGATAGCAAATGATACTTATACAGATTACTGATATTTACCCACCGAAGTTCTTTAAAGCTTTAAGAAATATGATCATATTTTCGTAAACCAAATATGTATCGACAACATGTATTCTAAATTTTTTGAAGCCTTATAGATGTTATTGAATCTAGACAAGGATAAAAAATTATATGACAATACGAAATTTTGCTAAGGATTAGAGTTTCACATAAGTATTTTTTCATATTCATTGAGAGCAAATCTTTATTAGCGTATAGAAGAATTAGATAACATTGAGTGGACAAACTGTTGATATGTTCAATAAATCAAAGATTCTCATCCAGTAGTAAGCCCAGACTTCTGGCTACATGTACCATAGGAATTGTCTCATCATCAAGTTTTATGGAAAAATTATTTTTAATATAAGATCGAGATTGGGCATTAGAAAATATGATTGATTTGGATTTTGATGGATTTAAATGCAGACTATGATCCAAGGAAAATGTTTTTATTCTAGCTAGGTCCTTATTAGCCGCTTTACTTGCTACCTCTGCATTAATGGAATGAAATGAATGGTGTAATTGGGTATCGTCAGCAAAAAACTGGATTTTACATGTCAGAGTTTGTTCACACAAGTCTGACGTATACAGAAGAAAGAGTAAGGGACCTAGGACGGAGCCCTGTTGTATGCCTGATTTTATGGACTCAAATCCAGATGACTGATTATTTATTTGAACTTTTTGTGAGCGATTACTAAGATAAGATTTAATAAAATTAAGAGATTTGTCACTAAAACCATAGTAACTACATTTAGAGATTAATAGCAGATGGTTGAGGGTGTCAAATGCTTTACTATAGTCAAGCAACACAAGAGCTGAAGCTTGACTATCATGCAATCCAGTTATTATAGAATCAGTTAAGTGACATAGAGCTGTTGTCGTACTGTGTCCTTTCTTAAATCCTGATTGGTGTAAGGGCAATATTTTATTTGAAGTGAGAAAGCTATAAATTTGCTTATACGCAATCTTCTCTAAAACTTTAGAGAGAACCGGAAGCAAACTTTTAGCCACTGGTACAACAACTGCTTTTTTCCACTGATCAGGAAAATAACCTTGTTCTAAACAACAGTTAATAATATGTGTAATATACGGTAAAATGACTGGCATACATAATTTAAGCATATCCAGAAAGATGTTGTCTGCTCCACTGGCATTCGATTTAACTTCAACAAATGTTTTCAGAACAGCATCCATGTCTACAAGACTAAATGTAAAATTATTGTTATTAATATATTTATGAGTACGATAATAAGCCGTTTTTTCACTACACTGGACATTGCTGTTTTTGGTAAACCGCTACAAACGCTTCATTTATCTTGAAGGGGTCTAATATCTCGTGAGGTATGTCATTGTTTTTTGAAACTTGCATATTCATTGTTTTTAAAGTTTTAAAGAATTTTGACACTCCCTGTCCACTTACGTAACGTAAATATGCAGCTTTTTCATTTTTTGTAGACGCAACAGCAACATTTCTAAGGCGTTTGTAGTGATCCCATGCTTCAGGCGTTTGAACACGCTTAAAGTTAACCAGAGCTCTGTTACGTTCTTTGTAAATATTTTTTAAATTTTCCGTTAACCAAGGTGCGCAAGGTTTGCTAACTCTAACAGTTCTGTAAGGACAGTGAATATCAAATAGCTGGGTAATAGTGTTAGAAAGAAATCGAACTTTACTTTCTATATCTCTTGTAGAGATTAGGTCATGCCAAGGAAAATTAGATAGGTCATTGTTAAAACAGTAAAAATTTATTTTTTTAAAGTTTCTAGAAGTGACAAATTTTTGTTGATTACCAGTAAGATTAAATTTTATGACGCAGTTAGCAAAGCGGTGATCAGAAAATAGGTCAGCATTTAGAGTTCCACTAGCTAAACAAAGTTTTGAATTATCAACGTAAATAGGATCTATAAGCGTTGCCGAAGTTGCGGTAATTCGTGTAGGTTCAGCTATAACTTGTGTCAATCCGTATGCTTCAAAACAATGGCTAACATTGTTATTGCTGTTAGTTAAATCTACGTTTACATCACCCATAACGAAGATATTTTTAAACTGAGGGACTATTGAAGTCAACATATCATCTAGCAAGTTAATAAAACAAGGAATAGAACCCTTAGGAGGTCTGTAAAGAATGCCTACTGACACACATTTGCTATTTATTTTCAGCTTAACCCATAAATATTCCAAGTTAGAAAATTCTCCAGATGTTATAACTTTACAATGATATTTACATTTAACAAAAATTCCTACTCCACCCCCACGATTGTTACGCTCATATCTAAAGAAATTATATCCGTCAATGTGTATAAAATTAGATGGTATATCGGCTTTAAGCCATGTCTCAGATACAGCGACAATATCAAAATCGTTATCACATACGAGAGTACAGAAATCATTAAAACCAGCTAAGATTGACCGGACATTTATATGTCCCATTTTTAGAGTGGCTTTATTATTTTTACAATTTTTAGTCGTATTTAACATTACTTTTTATATTATTTAAACATTTATTTAATACTTGACAATTATTTATATCTTTTGCAGTATGGTCACAATCGTAGCTGGTTTTGTGTGCGTTGTTATGAGATACACAGTTTATACATTTCTTAATATTCGATATACAATTTTTAATAGAATGCTCTTCAGTACAAATGGGACAAATTATTTTAGTAGAGGTACAATTATTTTGAATATGTCCAATACCCGAACATTTGTAGCACCTTTTTATTCGAACATAATCGTCAACACAACATTTCCATTCTATATGCACAAATGTTTTATTTAAAAGATATTTTCTTAATTGGGGGGAAACTTCTACAATTAATTCACAGGATTTTCTTTGAGAATATTTTAAAATTGTCACTATTTTAAGATCCGAAGCTGTGAATGTATCCATTTCATTTAGGGAGAAAATATTATCAGCAATTTCTTCATGAGAAACTTTTTCATCTACGTCCACGTTTTTAATAATAAGGCGTGGATTAAATTTCGTAGGGACACTAGCAGCATATTTGGAACCGAATTCTTTATTAATTGACACTTTTAATTTTTCTAGGGACGATTCATTATTTCAATTATTAATCACTAAACCATTTTTCGTTTTCTTCGTATTATTTATGCATACATTTAAATTAACAGGGTTAATATGTTTTTGAATATCTTCTAATATATTATCAGTTTTGAAGTTCCCTTTATTAGTACTTTTTATTATCAGACTAGAAGAAGGTAATTGAGAATTAGTCACTGGTTTTTTGCAACATCGCTGTAAAAAGCAGAACTGTTCGTACTAGGAGCAAAAAAGTTCGACATCGGTGCGGCATGTTTCTCGAATGAATTGATTTTATCTTTTAGTAGATTATTATTTAATTTTAGTTCTTCAATGAGATCGTTTAAGTTTTTAGTTTCTCGTTTTATGTATGCAAGAAAAATTAATTTTTGTTTAAGGTCTGGCAAATTGTCCGATTTAGAATGACCATCATTATTAAGTAGACATGACTTACATTGCCACTCCCATCTATCTGCTAAAAACACCCTTGCAACTGCTTCAAAATACTTGGTATGAATTACAACATCACATTTATCATTTGCACACTTTACACCACTTTTTCTTATGCTGGATGAACAAATAGCACACAATTTATCAGAGCGATCCGACAACATGTCTGTATCGCCTGCCATCACTACTCCGAATATTTGACAAGTACTACAGGTTTATCGTCGTACTAACTAAATAGCGCCCACAGGTTGAGCTTATTTCAAGCTAGCAGCAGTACGGATTTAAAAAAATTTAAGTCAATGAATTAAACATAACACATTTTAGAGTGAAAATTAAACGAGGAAATTAATTTTATTTGAAACAAAATAAATAAAAGCGGCAAATATCAATAAAAGTTACAAATAGAAAACAAAAAGTAGATCTTAGCCACTTTAAATGATTCCGAAACACTTGTTTATAGTGTACCTCAAGACACGGTTCAACGGTTAGTTTTGATCCGATTTTTAAAAACAGTATGCTTTAAATTGAAAAGAAATCTGAATTTATTATTATTACAAATCTAAAAATTTTAACATGGGCTCCTCTGTTAACTAACACAATGTTCCTTAGGGCTTTATCATGTTGCACCTCCATAATAATAATAATAATAATAATAATAATAATAATAATAAGTTATTCAATGTGGAGATTAAATCTTAACCTCGCCTATAAAGTTATTTGAAACAAATCTGAAAAATGCTGGGACACATTAATTTTTATTTTAATCAATGCATTTTAAGCCAAAAGACTTATCCCTCCCCTTTAATATCCTCCTCATTCTAATGGAAACATCTGAATTAAATTCGAGCTGTTATTAACAACAGAATGCATAATTATTTTCATGGCCGACTTTAGAGACTTTTTTGTGGCTCACTCTTTACAAACTTATTAGGTGCTCTAGTACATTGTGTCAGTAAACGATATTGTAAAGAGATACCAAATTTATCATCTTAGAAGTATTTAGAAATGTTCTGGGATCTATATGGAGTAGATTGTCAATAGTTATATCCCATATTATATTAAAAAGAGGGTGTGTTGCTTCACAACACTTAGACCTTATATAGAACCTGTCTCTCAACTTGTCAAAATCTGCTGATTGTCGCTGATAGGTCCCTAGATGCAGCCATCTTCCCAGCTCATCAAAGTCCTGCAAGTTATCAACTTATTAAAAACCTGATAGTTGACGCTGATGGGTCTCTACAGTTACAAAGTCACTAAACAACTGCTGGCTATCTTTGGCGGGTATCTAGGGATACCATATCTCTCAGGTCAAAGTGCTGCAGGTTAATAAAGTCGCCAAAAGGTGTCTCCTCGATGCCATCTTTTTTGGAAGTGGCCATTTGTTAGGTTTCTACCACCCCTATCGTAATTGCCCGGGTGAAGCTATTCTATGCACCTGCTTCACAAAACAAGGGATATTCCTAATCCTAGTTGTGTTTTTATACAATTTTTTTTTTGTAGCAGACCAAGCATTACACACGTTCCGAGCAATTATTACTAAAGGGAGGATGAAACGAGTTTTTAGGCGATTGTTGTGATTGCATCATTTGTAGAGAAAGTGAGGAAGCGGGCACAATAGGAAAGGTAAACACCCCCTCTTGTATAGTGACGTTTCACTTCTCTGTAAGAACACACATTGTACAATCTTTTTAATTGTAAAAAAATTAAAAATTAAAAATTGTCTATTTTACTATTTTTAAAATGTATAACGTCTTATATGTGTCTGATGCAGGAAATAAAACAAAATTACTGTAAAGGGCTAATTTTTTCAATTAAAGAATATAACCTCAAAATCAATACAATAATTTTATTATAAATACATACATAAGCGACTAGTTTCGACCTCACAGGGATATTTTCAGATCTCTAATACAATAATCCTTAATTATTATAATAGGAACAATACAAGAATAGGTTGGTCACTTACGATTAAAATTAAATAGTATAAATTACAAAAATGGATCCATATTGTAGCGTTACAGTATTGTAGGATTAAAGCTGTGAAAAAGGAAAAATAAAATAGCATTGCAAACTTAATTAAAAATAAGGAAAATGGGTACTGAATTTACCATAGTAGAGGTGAGAATGAGCAATTACGAATGCATTTAAATTGCTCGGGATAACAAATAAGGCTGATTATGTAAAGTAGTGGTATAGTCCCCGTCATAGAAGTTCCGGATATGTAAAATATAATTCAGAGTTTTCTCTAAAATTCTTCAGAACGTAAGGATGGAAGGAAGACGATTCTTTCTTGCTAAGGTGTAGATGGTTAGAAAAAGGAAAGTGTAGATGAAAGTTTTAGTAAATATTGTCATTTTTGTCTAATTTTTTATTCTCACTCACCGTTTCGGCTTTAGCTTCAAAAATTGCTTTCAAAAGGAAATAAAAGTATTCATTCATGCAAGAATTTAATAACACAACGTGAATTCATTATATTTAATAAGCTAATAAACGTTTATTTCAATGAAAAAACATGTATGTGAATATATATAAAAAAATAAATAATAGATGACATTATTATCAAAATCAATTTGAAAATACAACAAACAAAGATAAATGAAATAAATTAATACATGTACAAATAAACAGTTAATAATATAACTTCGAAAAGTAACACATTTTAAGTACATAAATGTTTAGAGAGTTGATGAACCCTAAACATAACTAATCTGACGTTTTCCACCCTTTTAATATTATGAGGGTTTTATTTGTAGTTGAAATGAAAATTATAATTTATTTTTGGTCCTAATAAAAATTGTAACATAGGTTATCAAAGAGGAAAATACATATGGAACTTCATATTCTTAAAACGTTATCAAAAATTATTAATGGTAAAACTAGATTCTTAAACAAATTTGTTTTTGCAAAAAGACTTTTTGTCTTCTTCGGTTAACTCTGCCACTTATATTTTAGTAATTTCGAGGAGAATTCCAATATGGAAACCAGGAGAACCATCAATTGGTTGGTAACATTTTGATATTTTGGGTCTGGTAAGAGGAAGGTCTTGTTAAACTTTCTTCTTAGGTAGCTGTAACCTTTTGGAGAATAAAAATTTAATGTTAGATCAAAAGCTCTTAACTGAGAATTATATTTGCTAAGGTCGTTTTAATATTATATTATTTTCAAAAGTTCTTGGAATCGTTGTTAACAGAAACCTTCAAAAATGTATTATTTTCTTTCTAAAATATAAGATATCACAAAATGCACATTCATATAATATAATTGTGCCAGAACAATAGTAGGTAGGTACTGGGACAATTAAAAAAAAGTAATTTATAGAAAATCAACTTTTAATGTCATCATTGTACTTACTTTTTATTGCTAAATTATTAATAATGTCATTTTGTGCAGCTCGTTGTGATTTGTATATATTGTAAAAACCTATCGTCAATGTTATTAGGTGCCGAGTTTTTTCTAATAATTATTTTGTAAAATGTCCGTGTTCTAGTAAAAACACATTTAAACACATTTTTAGAAGTTTTCTGGATTTCTGATTTAAGTTATATAATTAGATATATTTCTTTTTTGTTACAACATTCTTTGTATTATTCTATACTTTTTAGATATTTATAGAAGAAAGTAGGACATCTTAAAATATCCTATATCACCAACAAAAATGTAGACTAATGAATCTCACACCAAAAAAAAAAAACATTTAACTCTAGATCCACAAGGTGAGATTGTAGTTACAATAACCACAAGGTGGCGTCGAAAGCGACATCGGTACACAATATCCATATTTTTTGAATTTAATACAAAATTTTAAAAAAACACAACACAATATTAATTTGAACAGTTTTTATTTTGAAAAATACAAAAATCGCACAAATTATGTACTAGAAAGAAAATAAACTTTAAAAATTAAACATGTGAAGAACTCTTTCTAAAAATCAAAGTTAATATGTTTTGTAAGGTAAAATATAAAAAATATGAACAAAAAACAATAAATTGCAGAAAAATAAAATAGAAAAACTTTTAAGGACTATTTACAATCAATGCAGATGCTACTGCGGTGTTCACCACATACCCCTTTGTGGCAGTGCTCACACCTGTGTCGGGCTTTCCTATTTGTTTTTCTCGGACAAATTGCACATCGACTCATCGGATTCACTGGTAATTCTTCTGTGTCTTCTGTTTCGTTGCATTTTAGTATAGCGCGAATATTGTTCTTGATTTCTCTAGGTAGATAGCGATTGTGTACCCTACTTTTCAAATGTTCCTCAACCAGTGAGAAAGAAAGATTTTTTAGAAAATCAGACCGCTTCTGAACTTTATTCTCTTTCCAGTTGCATTTGTAAATTACGTAAGAGTTCACTCCGGCTGTATCAAGCATGGCATACAAAAGTGGCCACCTTCTCGTTTTCCTTGCAACAGTTGTCAAATGACATAGCTGATCAAACGTATCGACACCCCCTTTTGTCTCATTATAAAATAAGATTATTTGGGGCTTTTTTGTCTCGTCATCAACTTCAGCTGGATCATGCATGGATGATAATAATACGACCGTCTTATTTTTTTTTGGTACAAATGACACCAGTGTACAGTTTTCATCAAAAACAAATAAAGATGAATTGACCAATTTTCCCTTAGCTTCCACCAATTGTTTTGGTATATCAGTTTTGTTTTTCCTCATGGTCCCAACCAATGTTATTTTTTTTTTCTAGCAGTTTCTCTGCAAGTTCGTAAGAAGTAAACCAGTTATCTGTCGTACAATTTTGGTTTGTTCCATGAATTTCTTTGGTAAGATCCAGAACATATTGTGTCGGAATAGAGTATGGACTATGTCTTTCTTCTTTTCCTATATATGGCTTGGCAGAGCACATGTAATATGTTTTTGCATCGCACATGGTAACCACTTTCAAACCATACTTGTCGGGTTTGCTAGGAATGTACATTTTGAAAGGACAACGTCCTCTAAATCCCAAAAGCGTCTCATCGACGGTTACATATTCTGATGGGGTGTAATTTTTTCTACAACCTCTCAAATATCTCCCAAATTTCTCTAACGGCAGCAAATTTATCTGACTTTTTTCGTTCCTCTCGCGTTTCTTTCTCATCAAATCTCAAACATTTGATAATAAATTCGAAACGATTTTTATTCATAGTGCTTCTAAACATTACTGGTCCAAATACTGGGGACCAT